TCTCTCTCTCTCTCTCTCTCTCTCTCTCTCTCTCTCTCTCTCTCTCTTTCTCTTTCTCTCTCTCTCCATGGTCTCAAGTAACCCACCTTGACCTCAAACTCACAATGTAGTTGAGAACGATCTTGACCTCCTACCCCTCAATCTTCACCTTCTAAGTGCGGGGATTTCAGGCAGGCAGTACTATGCCAAGTGGGGAGACATATCTCATATATGCTTAGTAAATAACATTGGTCGTTATTTCAGCCATTTATCAAATTAGTAAATTTTTTTCTTCAAAATTACTAGAGCAGACAAAAGACCAAGAGATCAGAAATTTATAAACACAGAAAAGTCTTTTCTACTCTTATAGGAACTCAGAACTCCCAGATATAAAATAAAGAGGGTGAATAAGATGAACTCTAAGATATTTTTCTAAGTTTCTGAAAATTAAAATATTTTTTAAAGGATACAAAATACCAAACTTGATACTTATCACTAGGGATGTTGATTATATACAGAGCCTTAAGTGTAATCATAGAATTAGTACTTATGGGATGGGAACTTTAGACTATTTTAATCATGCTTTTCCAGTTATTGGAAAGGAGCTAGCAGCAACAGCTGACACAAGCATTGGCTAATAGCACCTGCAGTAGCAAACAGTGTCCAGAAATTTCCACACACTAGCTAGGGGTTCTATAAAAGATATCACAGAGGACTATAACAACACATATGATCTGACCAACTCAAACACATTTAAAATGAAAAGAAAACCAAAGCGTGTGGGAACATTTCACTCTCACATGAAATGAGCTCACAGGCCTGGCCTGTTGATTGTATCACACATCAAAACTCAAGAGCCAATCTCCCTCTGGCACAGAGCATCTTCTACAAAACCAACATCTAAATTCAAGGATAAAAATTCACTTGTATTAGGCTAGCCTCAGTTTAAAATGTTTAGGCTAGCCTTAGTTTAATATTTTCTCGAATTCCAAAATTTTCTTAGTACGAATAAAATAAGTTAATAAAATAAATGGAGATATAAGGTCAAACTATATCTGCATATATGCAAGAAACTATCAGAACCCAGAGTGTGCATTTAAACCAAACAAGATTTTACAATGATTAACAGTTTGATTTGCAAGGAAAAAGTCCCTTTCCTTATTGGAGACTCATTTTGAATGTGAAGTTAGGCAGGAAAAAAAATCACCCCATTTTTAACTGTGATTACAGTGAAATAAGTCATAAAGTAATAAGAAGTATTAGGCAGGCTGATAAGTACTTCAAAATCCAGGAGAATAAGTCTCTTGACAAAGAAAGTGTAAGAAAAAAAAAATCTAGGAAAAAATGTAGTAACTTAAGCCCAAGACAGCTGCATGGCACATGCTCAAATTCACTGCAACCACAGCACTCTTCTCGAGTTTGATTATTTTATATTTCTATAAACAAATCACTTACAGTTGTTCAAACTACCAGGATAGCCTAAAATTCTATCAATTCCTTTCCTTAATAAATTGAATTTTAATTACAAGTATGTGGAAGGGCTTCAATGCGAGCAAAAGTCATGCAGTATAATTTTCAAATTCCCACTTTTCTTCTAACCGCCCCAGTGACACACAAACATAGGCAAGCTACCAAAAAAAGAATCTGTTAACATATTTGAAAAGAAAAGTTAAATACCATGGGGCAGATTTGTAAAGGTGAAAAACCCAGTCAACAATTGTCAACAATTGACTCAGAAGAGATAGAGAAAAGTTTGCTTTATTAACGTGTGTTAAGAGATACCACCTAGCACTTGGGAGGCAGAAGCAGGCGGATTTCTGAGTTCGAGGCTAGCCTGGTCTACAGGGTGAGTTCCAGGACAGCCAGGACTATACAGAGAAACCCTGTCTCGAAAAACCAAAAAAAAAAAAAAAAAGAGAGAGATACCACTTCCCCCAGTGAACACCTCTTGGCACTGCCTGAGCGAGCAGGTTAGCAAATCTCAGTAAATCATCTATCAAGAGGTAGGTAACTCAGTAGGTAAAAACTAAAAGGACTCTCAAAGTAAACATTTACAAGAACACTTCTTGAACTCTTCTTAAACCGAAAACAAAACAAAACAAAACATTTCTTGGTGCATATCACCACGCACTGAATGGGCAACTGGCTTGTGATGATCCGATAATATGCAATCTGTCCAGTAGCCCAACAGTTCTTTTTTGGTGTGTTTGTTTATTGCGTCCTCCAATCACAAGAGATCATTAGGGGCGAAGCCTATGAGACTACACGCACACAAAGTTTGTCACCGCGGGCGGGCTATACTTCCAATAAGATGGTGGGTAAAGAAACTTTTTTTTTCTGGTCTAAGTGGGGGTAGGGTGAGGGGAATAGTGCTGTGCGCGCCTCACTCTACAAGACGAATTTCCCTAGAAAGAATCCAAAGAAAACTGCTCCGATCACCAGCAGAACAGGAAGAGGCATAGTGCAACCCAGCTTCAAGGAAGTGCAGGAGGAGGGTTCCGGCTTGTCGGGATGCGCTGCCTTTCTGAGTCTCAAGCCTTCTTCCAGTTTGTCACTTTCTGTCGGCGCTTCGAATACACACCTCAGTTTCGAATCCATTAGTTCCCCTGGGTTTGCCCTCCTCCACACGGCCTCCAGATCCGAAGTGTCAGGAGGAGCAAATACTGTCTGCACCATGAACTTATGCCTGACCTCCCGGCTGGGGCCGCAGCAGGAGGGCTGCAGCATGGCTGTGACCGTCACCGTGTTGCCTGGCTCGATGACACCGCTGTTGGGCCGCACGCAGTAGTGTCGAGGGCTGGTACTCTTCACCTTGAAGCACACTTTCCTCGCCGATGGGTTACGAAGTTTAAGATGCGCCGTGACTACCGCGGTGAAGGGGCCTTTGAACTTGAGGTCCGTGGGTGGGTCGAGGACTAGGACCTGCGGGGGCTTCGCGGGGGCTCGGGAGGCGGACGCCATGGGGACGGGAGCGGGTGGCAGTTCGCGACCACAGGTCTCCGCGTCACAACCGCCGTGGCCACGTGCGACCCCATCCTGGGCATCCCTAGTCCCAGCGATGAGGGGAATGTGTGATAATATACGGTTTGTATAGTCACTGCCTCCGAGATAAGCATGGGTTATTGAGCTTGAAACACCCAAAGAACTGTGACGTAACATCCCTTAAATAATTATCTACCTGTCTGAGCCCCTTGAGACTCAAAACTATGTATATGAGTCTTGAGGGAAGGAGGGTCCATGTATATTAAACGTGTGAACGGTAAGTGACGCGCTTCTGAAATTCTACCTCTGTACCCCTCCCGCACTCTACACACAGGGATGATAATGTCTTTGTAAAAAGAAATCTGAAATTTTTTTTAAAAAAGTGGAAAAATATACACTGAGTTTTAAAACATTTAACAGTTCCCAGCATTTTTAGGTGTCTGATTCTGTGGCGATAAGTAATTTACCTTCCCTCCCATTATTACAAGGGCACCCCCAGCCTAGATCCCTGTGTTGGTTAGTTTTGGACAGCAACTTAACCTAGAGTCATCTGGAAGAGCCTCAACTGATTGGCCTATGATCCCCTCTGTGAGAGATTGTCACCATTATGTGAGAAGTCCTAGGCAGGTGTGTGGGAGCAGGGCGGGATAGGGCAACGTTCCTCTGATGGCACATGCTTGTAGATCCTGCCCTGATTTCCTTCAATAATAGACCTGGAAGTGTAATTTAAAATAAACCTTTTCCTCCCCCAAATTGCTTCTGGTCATCGTGTTTATCACAGCAACAGAGATCAAACTAGAATCCCATCTAAAGAGAAACATACAGGAAGTGTTATATATTTCCTAGGAGCTTTATATACGTGTCCCACTTAAAACAAGGTTCCTGTCAGGAGGTGGCATGAACAGAGAACTTCAGAAGTCCTTTCAGTCTCCCTTCCTGTAGGGGTGTGAAGCAGGACACAGAATTGTCACTTTACTGAGTGTTATTTTCATATCAGTCCAGCCAGCCTCTTCAGCCTTAATTTCTTCATCTATAAAGCAGATACCAGAAATGTTGACGTCAGTGTTGTGTGGGTTAAGTGAAGTAATACATAACAAGAAGGGTCTTTACGTTACACACACAAATTTGTTGATAGCCATGTGCAGGTCTGACTCTCATTAATAGTGTTAGGCTACAATCTCCTAGATAAGGTCTGGTTCCTGCCTACAGCTAAGGGATTCCCAGACTGAGCAGCTGCTGGCAATGAGCAAATATTACTTAAATGTACAGAGGGATGAGATAACATCATCCTACTATAAGATGTTTTCATTTGTTGTGGTTCTGGGCATCAAACTCAGGGCTTTAAACATGTTTAGACAAGTGCCCTACCACTGAGCCCAGAGCAGGTGAAGGGTCTTAATGTATTCAAGTGGAGAAGCAAAACTACAAAGCAAAAGCAAACAGACAGGAAAAAGGGCAAGCCTATGTGGCTGGCACACTCTGGGCCCAAAGGGTGGAGTTATCCTCATCATCATGTGGCCATTGGTTCTGCCATTGGTTTAAGAAGACACACACACACACACACACACACACACACACCAAAAAAAACAAAAAGTCACAAAAAATATATTCAAGAGCGTGATGGCCAGGTAGCTAGGAAGGGAGAAGTCAGGATTCGGACTCCCAAAAAAGAGTGGGATGGAACCTTAAAGAGTCAGACTTGGCTGTCATTTTCGTCCTGTGTCCTTCAGTTAAGGCAAATGAAAGACATGTCTACCTTGAGCTTTCCCACCTCTGTCACACACCAACACTACCATCGTCCTCCCTCCCCCAGCCAGCCTCAGCCTCATGCCCACCAGTGTCCAACCCCTTCCTTTCATCATGAGGTCTGGTGATCTGTGCCAAATAACAATGGGAAGTCCTGGTCTGTGTTCTGGGTCACTAGGTCAAGTTTAAGACTTAAAAGCCACTTCCTTTCCCAGAGTAAACAGTGGGGCAGGAAGCTTCCTGGCAACGTTGACAGCCAATTTCTGCCAAACCACGAGCAAAGCATGGGGCTCAGCCAAGGGTGACCACTACACAAACCAACGACTCAGTCTAGAGCAGGGAAAGGGGGAGCCCAACATAGAAGTACAGCCAGGTATGGGTGCCACATGCCTGTAAATCCCAGCACTTGGGACCCGAAGGTAGGAAGACTAGGAGTTCAAGGTCATCCTCAGCTACATAGCTAGTTTGGGGCCAGCCTAGGCTACTCAAGATCCTGTCTCAAAATAGAACAGAGCCCAAAATGGTAATGGCTGGGGGGGTAGGAGAGGAGGGGGTAGAAGAGGAGTGGAGGGGGTAGGAAAGGATGGGGTAAGAAAGGAGGGGG